GGGGTTTGTGCTTCCTTTACAGCAAATGCTGTGTTTAAAATCTTCCGTGTCCTCCTCCGAGGCCATGAGTCACTACTCATGGCAAGGGCTTACAACCTTTGGGGATTTTCTTTCGAAATGAAATTTCTAAGCTTCATTTAAAAAAAAAAAACAACTACAAAGAGAATTTTTTTTTGGCTGAGGTAACTGGAGTTAAGTGACTTGCCCAGGGTCACACAGCTAGTAAGTGTCAAGTGTCTGAATCTGGATTTGAACTCAGGTCCTCCTTACTCCAGGGCCAGTGCTCTATCCACTGCGCCACCTAGCTGCCTCGAAAGAGAAATTTTCACTTACATTCCAGGAAAAAGGCGAATGCAAGGTGAAAGGACAGAACAAACTGTTCTTTAAATAAGCTTCTTGAGCTCTGACTCAGCCTTTAAAAACTTGTTATTCATGGAAACTTTTTTTCAAAAGATCTTCAAATTTATGATCTCAAATCATCCTCTCATCAACTCTGTGGGATAAACTGGCCAGGTCATAGATGTTACTTAGGCCTGAGAAACAGTAGGATTTGCCTCAAGTCACCCAGCCAGCGAATGACAAAATACAGGCTCTGGCCCTATTTGGACGCCCTTAGCTAATGGAGGCCCCGGTTCCCAGGCCACCTTGGAGCTCTACAGCCCCGAGGCAGGACAGAGAACGGCAAGACGGGCCTCAGTGCCCGGCTACACCAAGCCCTTTGTGTTACTGAGTGTTGGAAAGAATTTCACTGGTGTCCTTTGTCTTTCTAGAGATACACTGATTCCTTTTGTATTTACATCAGTCATTGTGCACATACGCAGGTATATACGCACGCACACACACACACACACACTCTCCTACACTAACCCCCAAACTCCCTGTAATAAAGGGAAAAAATTATATATACACAGAATATGTATAATTTCTTTATCATATCTATATAATATTTGCGTGTATATGTATACATGTGTGTATACACATATATGTGTATATATGTATACATGTATGTATACACACATATGTGTATATGTGTATATATGTCTATATGTCTGTATGTGTGTGTGTATGTGTATGTATACACACATACACATATATGTAAAAAACGAGACCTGCTTCTTTCTTTCATTCCAGAAGAGAGATTGGGAAGGACAAGGACAAAGCATCATATCTGCTATAGGTAGATGGAGAAACGAATGAATGAATGAATAAATGAATGAATGAATGAACACAAACACACTCATCGTAAAATGAGCTGGAGAAGGAGATGACAAAGGGCCCCAGCATTGGACATGACTGGAAATAACTAAACAACAACTCTGTGTGTGGGTGTGTGCGTGCACTCTTCTGTCTCTGACCTCCCGGTGCCTCTTCTGGATCGAGGCAAGGAAATGGCTCTACTGTGTGCCGTCTCCCCTGAGGGAGCATTGTGGCTGTTGGGGGTCCCTGCGTATCTGCCCAGAGACCAGACGAGCCTTACCAGGTATCTCAGACCCCTCTTTTTGTTCTCATTTCTCACGTCACAGCAAGAGGCCTTTGGAGGCTATGGTTTTTCTCATCACTTCCTGCCTGGCTTCTGGTGGTTTGCTACTCCAGAGGGGCTGCTAGGAACCTCTGGTACATCCTGACCTCTCCCTGGCTTCCCAGTAGTGGGAATCCCAGTTCTCCCTGGTGATGGAGGGGAGGAAACTGAGGCCTGTGTTGACCAAGGGACTGTTTTCCTGAAATTAAAATTGGACGCGGAGATCTCAGAGTGGCCCAAGGCCTGGAGAAATTCTGAAAAGCCCAAGAAGGTCAGGCCTGCATGGGCTCATATGATTTTCACAATGACTCTTTGGGGAGACCAGTTTTGAAGATGAGGACTAGTTGGTCTGCGGTTCTGTCTGTCTGTCCTCATTCACGTGCAGTGATTCCCCCCCCAGACACTGCCTTCTGGTAGCATGCTGGCCCATCCCCCCTCTCCTGGTCACTAAAAAAACTTTTGGGACAGACCTCCTGACTCCCAACTTTCTTTTTAACCCATTGCTGACTCCTGGACATTGGGCCCCTGCCCCTTGCACTGCTGAACACTGTACCCTCCAGGTTACCAACAGTGACATGACCTATTCTTAGGCCTCCCTTTCTTTGCCCCTGCAAAGGCCCTGGAGAGAAGCCCGGCCCTGGAGTGCCAGGCTCTGCCCCAAGCCCACTGGGCCCAGGCAAGGCCCTTCAGCTCCTTTGGCTCTCTTGCCTGCTGGGACTCTTCCCTGCCCCCGCCCACCCGCCCGCCCAAGGCTCTCTCCATCCCCCTGCTGACCCCAGTCCTTCACCCCACAGTCCAAAGGGCTCCTTCCCTACAGCAATTTTGCTCTATCATTCACAGGGCAATAAATCCCATCCTGCTTCTTGACTTTTCTCTGACTAGGGCATGTATGTGAATGCTCTTTCCCTACCTAGACTGCAAGCTCCCCGAGGGCAGGAATGGTGGCTTTTACACTGCTCCTTGGTCACTCTGGGCATTGATTCTCACTAGACAGGTCGGCCGCTCTAGGGGACAGGACAGAATCTCCCAGGAGCCCCAAACATACCATTGAAGTTGTTCCTTATATAAACTGCTGGTTGTTAGCAGGCTGTTTTCTTGTCTAATGACTCCACCTAAGAAAAGAAGCCAGAAAAAACAACAGGGTTGAGTGTCCGAGTTAATTGGAATACAGAGAACTTCATCTTTTAACCACCCATGGATGAAAACAGGACAAATTGGAGAGAATTCAGCCTCCCGTGCAAACTGACTACATGAGGGAGGGCAGGTCCCAGGCCCCTCCCCATGTTGTTAGACAGGTGCCAGTCTGCATTGACCAGACTCCTGCACTAATGAAATCACAGGTCAACCCCCCCAAAAAAAGTAGTTAAACAAAATCTGTAATTACAGAAGGAAACTGAGGCACAGGGAAGGAGAAGAAAGCATTGGCCCGAGGTCAGATAGCAATGTGTGACAGAATCCTTGAGAAAGGCATCATGGGATAGCTCTGAACCCAGATTCTAGCCCCAGATGGTCATGCGACTACGCGTGAGTCACACATGACATCACCGCTGCAGCACGCAGGGGCTAGTGTCCCGATACCATCATATCACGGTTGCTGGAGTTTCTACAGAGCTCTGAGGTTGGCAAAGGGCTCTGTACATACTATCTCACTGAAACAGGCTCAGAGTGTCTGTGGTTTGCCCACAGTCTCACGGCCGGCTGGGGGGCAGAAGCAATCCTTCCTGATCCCACCTCCAATGCTCTCAGCACGCCCCGGGGGGATCTCAGAGGAGTCTTCCACGATAAATTAAAATGCTTTCTTTATTTTGAAATGTTGTGGGCTACGAATGATGACGCCACTGGGTAAGCCTGAAGACACTCGGCACTCGGGGACTCAGGGCCTCTTCCAGCTTACGTGGACCACGCTCTCTCCAGATGCTGCTTGGAGATGGGAACCAGTAACACCCGATGGATCTCTGCTCGTAGGTGTTAGCACGCACCAGATTGTTACACTGGAATAATTGCTCAAGTAACTAATAAAAACTCAGTGGCTATGATAACGATAATGATAAAAACTAATAAGCCTAGTCTAGTAAGAGGAGTCATATAAAATGAATCACACGCTGTCCACGCTGGAGCAGGGGCCAGAATACTTAACGGAAATAGTCAGCCAATGAGCATCTATTAAGCACTTGGGGTGGACTGGCCCTTCAGGGAGGACCAGCACCTCTGGAGCCTGGGCTGCTCATCCACCTTTGTGTCCACCTCTCACCCAGCTCTCCTCTGTGGCTCCAGGAAGCGGCAGCAGGGCCCGGGACCCCGGTGAAGCCACCTCAAAGACAAGCTAAACCAGGCTGAAGGGAGCAGGGGGTCTCAAACCCTGCGGTGAGTGAGTGGAAGAGTGAGCAGAAGACCCTGGGCCGTCCCCTGGCCACCCTGACTTCTGTCCTGCTGGATTTTGATGACTTCGGGCAGCTCTGCCTCACTTGAATCCAATTCACAGGCCGTCACCTATGATGTCGCGGTCCTCTTGGAAAGGAAGGACCACCGGGACGGACAGCCGCCAACTGTGGGCCAGGCCCCGAGCTAAGTGCTGGGGACACAGGCAAGGGCCCAGGCCCATGAGCCGGGAGAAATCGGGGTCCCCCGGGAGGGAAGGCGCTGCAGCTGCAGATCGCCACCCTCATGGCTCCCACGGCAGGTGGGATTGTGACGGAGCCTTGAGCCCAAAGGCGGCCAGAGAAGCCCGCAGGGGGCCAGGGGCCAGAAAGGAGCCCCCAGGGCCCGCTCCTTCCTTCCCATCAAGTCCCCGAGGGGCAGGGGACGCCCACCCGTCTGTGCCACAGCCCGGGGCGCCGCGGGACCCCCCCCCCCCCCCCCCCGGGCCCCGGGGCGCCGCGCCCCCCCCCCCCGAAGCCCGGGGCCCGGCACAGAGAGGCTGCGGACCACGGCTCCTCTGCCCAGCAGCTCCAGAGGGCGGGCGGTGGCCGGGGGTCCCGGGCGGGGGTCCCGAAGGGCCCGGGGCAGGACGGGCGCCCCCCCCCCGCCCCTCCCCCCTCCCCCCCGGGGCACGGGGGACCCTGGGGGGGCAGGCCTGGAGGCAGGGAGACCCGAGTTCAGATCCCGCCTCGGACACTGACTAGCTGACCCTCGGCCGGGCTCTTCGCCCTCCTCAGCCTCAGTTTCCTCATCTGTAGAACGGGGACGACCGTGGCCCCTCCCTCCCGGGGCTGGATCTAAAGAGAATGGCTGCAAGGGGGCTGACCCAGCGCCCCCTCCCTCGCTGGGGCCCGGAGGGGTCTGGAGGCCGGCTTTCGGTCTTGAACGACCTCCTCCATCCCGGGATTCTTTACAGACTAAAAGTCACTCCTCCCCCCCTTAGTCCGGCATTCAAGGCCCTCGGCTCCCTGGCCCTGAAGAAGACGGGAGGTTGGGGGGCGAGGGTCCTGGGGGGAGGGGGAAGGGCGGGGCAATGGGACGGACAGACTGACGGAAGGAGGAGGGAGGGAGGGAGCCGGGGCAGCGGCGGGGGCGGGGCCGCCTCACCTGCCTCTCCGGCCCTGGGCTCCACCCGGCACCCTCCCGGAGCCGCAGCCCGGAATCGGAGTCGGGCGGCCGAGCCCCGCCCCGTCTTCTGCTTCCGGGTCGGCGTCTTGGAAACGGGAAGCGCTGCGCAGGCGCCTTCCGGCCTCCTCAGGACTACTTCCGGGGGACTCTCCTCGGGCTCGGCCCCGCCCCTCCAGCAAGCCCAGTGCGCAGGCGTGCCGTGGAGCTGCGGCCAGGGGGCGCCTCGGGCTCGCTGGGATTTCCCTGGACCTCTCAGTTGGCTCATCCGTGAAATGGGGAAAGGGCGATTTTTTTTTTTTAAATAAAATTTTTATTTTTTTATTTTGTTATTTTGTTATTGCTCAGTCGTTCCAGTCGTACCTGACTCTCCGTGACCCCGTTTGGATTTTCTTGGCAGTGATACTGGAGTGATTTGCCATGTTCTTCTCCAGTCCATTGTACAGATGAGGAAACTGAGGCAAGCAAGGATAAATGACTTGTCCAGGGGCACACAGCTACTAAGTGTCTGAGGCCACATTTGAACTCAGGTCCTCCTGACTCCAGGCCCAGTGCTCCACCCATTGAACCATCCAGCTGCCTCATGCCTCATTCTACCCATTTATAAAATGGGTATCATAATGGCACCTGCCTCGTTGTGAGGATAAAATGAGATAATATTGGTAAAACCCTTTGCAAACCTTCAAGTGCTAAATACTATTCTATACAATTATGGTACATCATATAAAATATATTACATCATATATATAACATCATATCAATCAATTCCCAGGCACTGTGCTAACTGATATGACATATAACACTATAATATAAGTACACTGGGTGGCATTGAAGCTGGAAAATGGGTCAACAAAGCTGTTTTTCGGGGGTGCAGTGCAGAGGATTCTGGACTTGGAGTCAGAAGCCCTGAGTTCCAATCCTGCCTCAACTACTTTGCGGCTTTGGGACCTGTCACTTACTGTCTACATCCCTCTGTTTCCTGTCTGTATAAACAGGGCTGTCCAAGGCTCACGTGGGATAACACGGGTAGTGTGCTTTGCAAACCTCAAAAGACTTTACAAAATATTCGCTGCGATTATTCTCGATAGAAAACAAGTTGGTTTTCTCCAGTCAGCCATGACGAAGGCTTTGGATGTTTGGGGTCAGGGGTCTCGGGCCTCCACACGGGGTCTCGGGCCTCCACACCGGCTCCGGACCAGAGCAAGCGGAGGCTAAGCTCCTTCCACTGAGTCTCGGGCAGGTCCTGTCCACGTGCCCACATCTGTCTGCACAGTGATGACTGGGCCCCGTGGACGCTGACAGCAGGCCAGAGACGTCAGCTGCTGGCCTCTCCAGGACGTCCCGGCGCAGTCTGGCCGATGCCTCTGCCTCTCATCGGCCCCTGCTGACCCCAGCTGTATTTCTGGGCTGCGTGAGAGCCTTCGGGCCTGCTTTCATCCACTTGGGATGGGGGCTCAGGACACGCCACACGGCTGCAGGAATGCACCGAATTTCATTTCACGCTAAGGCTTTAAGCCCTGATCTGCTGGGACGGGGCCTGCTTGCTGCCTCTCCCTTCCTCCTCTGGGCCTTGCTGGGATGCAGGGCTGACCTCGGGCTCTGGGAGGCCAGGCCAGTGGATGGCGAGCTCTCCAGGCGCTGCCTGAGCTGGTCAGTCTCCAGGCATAGCCCAAGACAAGACCCTCCATCCCAGGCTCTGTCCCGGTCACAGCGACAGGAGTTATTCTGGCCGTAGAGCAGGACCCTGTGCGGGCGGGAGGGTCCCCACCTCTGACTCGCACCTGGGACGCGTGAGGTGAGCCTTCCCATCTCCGAGCCTCAGTTTCTTCACCTGTAGGGGCTGGGCGGACAACCCTCGAGGTCCTGAAAAGCTCTCACGCAGGCCATCTCCTGGAGCCTCAGTTTCCTTCTGTGTAACGTGGGCATAACAATCCTTTCAGTCCCTCGCCTCCTGGGGTGCTCAGGGCCAAGCGCTTTGGAAACCTTGGAGTGCTGTGGGAACGGAGGGCAGAGAGGGTAGCAGCTCCCCACCACGGTCTTGGATCTCCAGGTGTCTGGAGGGGGAGGGGAGGGGGCCAGGATGGGCTCCAACAAGCCAGGCACTGAGACGGAGCAGGCTTCACGGAAGAGGCGCCGTGTTCCTGGCAGCCTCCATCCACTTGGGAGCCAGCTCCAGGCAGAGGAGCCCTTACCTCTTTTCCTACTATTCTTCCATTCTTTTTCCTTCTTTCCTCTTTTCCCTTCCCCTGCTCTTCAGATCGCTGCACTTGGATTAGGAAGACCCGAGTTTGAATCTCGACCGAATGCTTCCCAGCTGGGGGATTCTGGATTCTGCCTCAGTGTCCTCATCTGTAACTTGGGGATAATGATAACACCCCCCCCAGGTTGTTATGAGGCCCCAATCAAAGAGCATTTAGAAAGTGCTTCACCCATCTCTGAGTGCTCTAGAAATGGGGGCTGGTGTTCTCTTTCCCTCTCCTCAAAATGGCGGACGGGTTGGGGGCATGTGACAAAGGGCTTGGGGTCCACATCCTGCCTTCTCATCTACCAGTTCCCTTTCCCCCGTCCTCCCTTGTTCCACCCGACATCTGCAGCCCCAGGGTCCCACCCTGCCCATCCCTGCACCTGCAGATCCCCTCAGCATCCAGCACATGGTCTTTATTTTTTCTTTCTTTCTTTCTTTCTTTCTTTCTTCCTTCCTTCCTTTCTTTTTCTTTCTTCCTTCCTTTCTTCCTTCTTTTCTTTCTTTCTTTCTTCCTTCCTTTCTTTCTTTCTTCCTTTCTTTCTTTTTCTTTCTTCCTTCCTTTCTTTCTTCCTTCTTTTCTTTCTTTCTTCCTTTCTTTCTTTTTCTTTCTTTCTTCCTTCCTTTCTTTTTCTTTCTTTCTTCCTTCCAACCTTTCTTTCTTCCTTTCTTTCTTTTTCTTTCTTCCTTCCTTTCTTTTTCTTTCTTTCTTCCTTCCATCCTTTCTTTCTTCCTTCCTTCCTTTCTTTCTTCCTTCCATCCTTTCTTTCTTCCTTTCTTTTTCTTTCTTTCTTTCTTTCTTCCTTCCTTTCTTTCTTCCTTTCTTCCTTTCTTTCTTTTTCTTTCTTTCTTCCTTCCATCCTTTCTTCCTTCCTTCCTTTCTTTCTTCCTTCCATCCTTTCTTTCTTCCTTTCTTTCTCTTTCTTTCTTTCTTTCTTTCTTTCTTTCTTTCTGCCTTCCTTTCTTCCTTCTTTTTATTTTTTCCTTCCTTCTTCTTCCTTCTTTCCTTTTTCTTCCTTCCTTCCTTCCTTCCTTTCTTTCTTTCTTCTCTCCTTTCCTTCTTTCTCTCTTACAGAATTTAATGAGACAGGGACAGATGGAGACATAGAGACAGAAACAGAGATAGATAAAGAGACAGAAAGAAAGCAAGGAAGGAAGGAAGTTCTTTCTACAGAGAGAAAAAACGGCACTAAGACTGTTGGGACGGCCTGTGTTTGTATTTTACTTTGTAAAGTAACCTGCTATGAGGAATATCATTTGAGTTACTTTCAAAATTTTGTACTTTTGGAACAAACATGTGACCTGGTTTTATTACAGCGTGGAGAGGTGGGGGGGACCTGGGGTTAGCTGCTGATGTGACCCTGGCATCCAGAAAATCATCGTGTCTGAGCTTCGGTCCTGGGGAGGCTCGGCAGGACCAGGGCTGTTAAGTACTTTATCTCTGGCTATTACCTATGGCGGGTATTTTAGACATTGTTTCACTGTCTTAATTTTTGTTAACGGACTTGAGTATATTTGATTTTGTTTGAAGCTGTTAAAAAGCTTAGGAATTGTGGCAAGGGTTACTGACTGAGTGTCCATGTGGCAGTTGACCTATGGTCTTGGCTCCTCCGAGATGGGCCCAGCATGGAGCCCGGAATGTGATGGCCTAAAGGTCTGAGATTGAGTTCTGGTTCTGAAACCGAGGGGCAGCTAGGGAGTGCAGTGCATAGAGCACCAGGCCTTGAGTCAGGAGGACCTGAGTGCAAATCCTATCTCAGACAATTTCCAGCTGTGTGACCCTGGGCAAGTCACTTAACCCTGCTTACCTCAGTTTCCTCATCTGTAAAGTGAGCTAGAGAAGGAAATGGGAAACCGTCTTTGCCAAGAAGACCCTAAATGGGGTCACAGAGAGTTGGACACTGCTCAAAGACAACAAAAAAGATCCCTCCCAGCCAGAAAAGAGGATGGGGGTGGTGGAAGATGTTGGCTAGGGCAGCTCCCTCCCTGTGTCTGTGACTCAGTCAGACTGAAGGGAGCCAACGCCCAGCCAACCCTGGCAACACTGCTGCTGCCAGTCACGGACTCCCCTCCCCCCGCCCCGTTCACCAAGTGGGTTCTCAATCAATGGACAAATATTTACTGAGAGAGAGAGAGAGAGAGAGAGAGAGAGAGAGAGAGACAGAGATGTGGGCAGCCCTGCCCAGAGGCCTGGAGCCCACAGGAGACTGAGGCAGAGCCCCTGATCTCTAGGGAGGGCCCTTGCCAACTGAAAAGTGCCATAGGAGTGGAAGCTAGGCTTGGTGTTATTATTATTGTTATTAAATATATTTTTCTTTACTTAAGTCAATATTTCCAAATTACATGAAAAGAAATTTAGCATTCATTTTGTAAAATTCTGAGTCCCAAATTCTCTCTCCTGCCCTGCCCTGCCCTCCCTCACCCCTTGAGAAGGCAAGCCATATGATATCGATTATATGTGTGAAGCCATGCAAAACCTATTTCCATATCACAGGCTCAGGAACCCTCAAGTTTCCAGAACAGTGTTTTTGCCTTTCTTTGTATCCTCGGCACACAGTAGGCGCTTAATAAACGCACGTTGATGACCATCTCCACACTCACATATCGGGCGAATGGTGGCCAAGCCCCTGTGTGAGGGCTTCCAGGGAGGAGGGCCCCTCCCCATTCCACTTTGGGCCACCTCTCATTGTATGGAAGTTCTGCATCTATATCTCCCCCCCCCAACAGAAGAAATCGAACCCCCCCCCCCCCCCCCCAGACAAAGCCTCCAAATACCTGGAGGCAGCTAGAATGCCCCCCACCCCCCACCCCCGAG